CTCAGCACCAACGCCCTCAGCAGCTCCAGCTCCAGGAGGACCCGCGGGTCCAGCAGCTCCGGGACCGGCAGCACCCGCACCCTCGACGGTCGAAGAAGCTCCAGATCCAGCTCCAGCAGCACCTCCAGACTCAGCAGCACGCCTCCAGCGGCGAGCGAACCACTCGCGCAGCTCCTGTGGAGAGAGGGGCTCCCGGCGAGACGCAGCAGCAGGAGAAACCCCAGGCCCAGAAGCTCCAGACGCAGCACCCCCAGGCTCAGCAGCTCCCAGCTCAGCACCCCCAGGCTTAGCAGCTCCCGACCCAGCACCCCCAGACCCAGCACCTCCAGGCACAGCACCCCCCGGCTCAGCACCCCCAGGCTCCGCACCCTCCGCAGTAGCACCCTCAGGCCCAGCACCCCCAGCAGTAGCACCCCCAGGCTCAGCATCCCCGCGCAGAGCACCCCCAGAGTCAGCACCCCCAGGCTCAGCACCCGCAGCAGCACCAGAGTCACCAGTAACCTCGACCGGGTCAACGGCGTCTACCTGGGACACACCTGAGGGGGCAGGAACCTGAGGGGGGAGGGGGTCTACCGGGGGGGGAACCGGCACAAGGAAGTCCGGGGGAGGGGGGAGGGAAGGAGTGCGGTAGGGGAAGAGACGGTAGAAGGGGACTGACTCGTCGAACGTGACGTCCTGGGAGGACAGAACACGACGAGAGGAGGGGTGGTAAAACTGCCACCCTGGGGCGTCAGTGGGGAAGCCAAGGAAGACACAGGGAGCAGCACGAGGGGACAGCTTGTCCGCAGACAAGTCGCGGACAAACGCCCGAGATCCCCAGACACGGAACACAGACGCATCGCCAACCTTCCCCGTCCACAGCAAGGCTGGGGACATCGCAGGCCGAGAGACCCGGGGGTGAAGGTTGAGCTGATGCGCCGCGTACCTCACCGCAAACGGCCACAGAAAATGGGGGGCAGCCGCATGCATCATGGACGTACGAGCGACATCCATGACCATGCCAATGCGGCGCTCAGAAATCCCATTTTGCTGTGGTGAGTCCGGAAGCGTGAAGGTCTGGCGGATCCCCCGTGCACGACAGTAGTCCCGCAGAAGGCGAGAAGAGAACTCTCCGCCTCTGTCCGAGTGCAGACGCAGAACAGGAAAGTCCGAGCCGAAGCTCTTCCTGAGCTGGAGACGAGCCTCGCGGATCCAGTCGATCAGCACCTCAGTGACTGCACCCTTGCTGCGCAAGGGGAGGACTGTGGTGTAACGCGAGTAGTCGTCAACCACCAACAGGAAGTAGCGCTCGTAACCCTGCCCACGGTCGGGGGCTGGGCCCCACACATCCATGTGAAGCGTCTGCAGGGGAGCCTCTGTCGGGGGGAAGTGGGAGGAGTGAGGAGTAGCCCGGAGGCGACCCTCGACACAGGGGACACAGGAAGGTCCTGGCCCGGAGGGGAGAGGAGGGAGAGACTGGGGAAGACCAGAGACAAGGAGACGGGAAGCCATGCTCCGAAGACGGGGCAAGGAGGGGTGGCCAAGACGGTGGTGCCACAGGAGAGTCTCGTGAGACAGGAGGCGACAAGAACAGGGGGCAGACTCAGGACCTGACCGGGACGCAGCAGCAAGCACCTGACCTGACGCAGCCACCTGACCAGACGCAGGGACAGGAGGAGACTCATCTGTCAGGGTGTAGAGACTCGACCCAGGCCGACGCGAGAACGTGGCCAGGTGGCGGCCTGTGCGTGCCTCCGTGCAGTGGGTCACCCGCTGACTCGCAGGAGTGAACTGGTGAACCCCCACATCCTGCAGGTCCGCTCCACTCACCAAGTTCGTAGAGAACGAGGGAAGGTACAGACCAGACAGGGTGCCCGAAGGGGCAGCCGGACACGGGAGGACAGTGGAGAAGTGAGACAGGACAGGACCCCCAGAGGGGTCAGCAAGGGAGACCGCAACCGGCCGGCCGAGCGGCGTAAGGGTAGTGCGGTCCCGAAAGAAGGAGCGAGAAGCCCCGGAGTCAAGTGTGAAAGTGAGGGAGGACGAGGACGACGCAGTACCTGAGAGCGCAGTCTCACCAGTACCTGAGAGCACAGACGCACTGGCACCTAGAGCAGCAGCCTCACAAGCACCTAGCGCAGCAGCACCAATGCCCGGGTCGGGCTGGAAACACCGGTAACCCTCATTCTCCTCACTATAATCCACAGCATACATAGCAGCAAGGATAGCATCAAAATCAAGATCAAAGATCGCTACACCAGCCCTAAGAAGCTCATCCCAGCGAGGGATCTCACTAGCCCCAGGGAACTGCCGACGCCAAGCGTCCGTCAGGCGGCCAAAGCAGCGCTGGGTGGCGTGGGCACCCCCACACTGCTCACCCGCGCGGTCGCCGGAACGAAGAACGTAGGTGCAGGGACCAGTACCCCCACCCTTCTGACGCCCAGCGTACCACTCACGAAGCTGCTGAGGCGGAGGGATGTCCCGCGAGCGCTGCTGCTGCTGCCGCTGCGAGCGCTGGCCACCACCACCGCCGCTACGCTGCTGGGTACCACCCCGACCAGCTCCACCTCCTCCACCACCACCGCCTCCTCCGCTGCCGCCTCCACCGCCTCCACCTCCGCCGCCTCCACCTCCGCCGCTGCCACCACCACCACCGCTGGCACCACCACCACCGTCTCCGCCGCTGCTGCCACCACCACCACCACCCCCGCCACTAGTCCCGCCACCACCCCCACTCCCTCCGCCGCCACCGCCGCCACCGCCACCGCCCCCTCCAGCTCCACCCGCGCCCTTGCCCCCCTTGCCCTTGCTAGAGCGACGTCTCCCACTAGGGGTAGACGCCGCGCCGACCGACTCAAGACCAAGCAGGTCGGCAGCAGCAGCAGAGGCAACAGAGGGCAGCAAGGGGGAAGGAGAGCACCCCTCAAAGATGGGGGTGCGAGGGTCACCACGAGAAGCACCTACAGCGACTATGCTCTTCTCCGCTGCGAGGAGGGCCTTCTCGAGGAGGTCGACGGTGAGGGTGGTGGGACAGACAGCGAGAAAGTGGTCCCTGACGACGCGAAGGGAGTCAGGGAGGCGCGCAACTACGTAGTAGAGAGCGATGTACATGGGGGGGGGGTTCTTAGCGCAGAACTCAGCAGGAAGGGCGGCGCGGTAGCGAGTGTCACTAGTGCGGAGGTGCGTAATGAGGTCAGCAACAGTGGGAAAGGCAGAGAGGTCAGGAAAGAGGTAGGGAAGCATGAGACGGCTCAGTGCAGCAGTGGCAGGGGAGGAGTAGCGCGCAACTACAGCGTCGTACAAGGTCTGAGCACTCTTGTACTGGCTAAAGTGCGCACACTCAGAGGTAGGGAGGTGGCGACGCACAGCAAGACGTGCAGCAGCATCGCGGGTGGCCCACTGAGAGCGGACAGAGGGATCAGCATCAGCAGCAGGAGCAGGAGAGGCGCCAGAGGTGAGGTCAAAGAGAGAAAGGTCGTCAGCCCTGTCGCACTGTAAGAACAGCTGCAGGTCGTCTAACCAGACCTCAAAATCAATGGCGCGACCCTCAGCGTCGAAAGCTAGGACACTAGGGGTAGCCATGGCGACGACAGCGACGCAGTGCAAGCAGTAGGGAAAGAGCTCGCAGTGTCAGTGGGACTGTGCTCACCAGGCAGGGCAGGTCGTGTAGCTCTGCAGAAAGGCGGCTCAGCGACCGGGCAGCTCGGGTGCACAGCGGCTCGGCTCCCGGGCGGCTCGGTGGCTGGGCGGCTGGGGCGCAGGGCGGCTCGGCTTCCGGACGGCTGGGCGGCTGGGCGGCTCGGGTGCAGGGCGGCTCGGCTCCCGGGCGGCTCGGCGGCAGGGCGGCTCGGGTCCCGGGCGGTTCGGCTGCTGGGGCGGCTCGGCCGGGAGATGCAGGGGCGGGGCCGTCAGGTGCAGCGGCGGGTCGACCGGTGCAGTGGTGGGCTGGCAGGTGCAGCGGCGGGCCGGCAGGTGCAGCGGCGGGCCGGCAGGTGCAGCGGCGGGCCGGCAGGTGCAGGCGGCGGGCCGTAGGGTGCAGCGGCGGGCCGTAGGGTGCAGCGGCGGGCCGGCAGGTGCAGCGGCGGGGCCGTCAGGTGAAGCGGCGGGCCGCTGGGTGCAGCGGCGGGCCGGCAGGTGCAGCGGCGGGCCGGCAGGAGCAGCGGCGGGCCGGCAGGAGCAGCGGCGGGGCCGTCAGGTAAGGCGGCGGGCCGGCAGGAGCAGCGGCGGGCCGTAGGGTGCAGCGGCGGGGCCGTCAGAGGCGGCGGGCCGCTGGGTGCAGCGGCGGTCCGGCAGGTGCAGCGGCGGGCCGGCAGGAGCAGCGGCGGGCCGGCAGGAGCAGCGGCGGGGCCGTCAGGTGAGGCAGCGGGCCGGCAGGAGCAGCGGCGGGCCGTAGGGTGCAGCGGCGGGGCCGTCAGAGGCGGCAGGCCGTAGGGTGCAGCGGCGGGCCGTAGGGTGCAGCGGCAGGGCCGTCAGAGGCGGCGGCGGGGCCGCGGCAGTAGAGGCGGGGCCGCGTCAGGGGAGGCGGCGGGGCCGCGTCAGGGGAGGCGTTGGGTACAAATACAACCCTAGAAAGCTGTACCCCATATGTGCTACCCCACTATAGCCTACAAACATGCATCAGTTATAATAATCCGACACTGGTTCCACTGATTCCCCTGGCCCTGTAGCATGCAGATACAGACAAACAACATCCAACCTTCACCTAAATTGTACCCCTATAGTGCCTGCCCTGCTACACTATAGTCAACCAAACAAAACAGTACAATTTCGAGTTGGATAGAACTGAATCTGCGCAATCAAGTAAGCCGAACCACAAAGCTTCCATCTTGGGTTCCTTTGCGAGCTCGTCCTTTCTGCTTGTACTGTTCATAGCGCGTACAATGTTATGCCGAAGCGCACATTGTGCGAGTACCTGCAAATGCTTCAAGCGAAAATTGCGAAAGCAAACAAACACACGAACATACCATTCACACGCAAATGCATTCTCACACGCATACTCGTACAAACAGACGGCAGGATGTCGTGCAATGTGAATTTGCACCCAACACACTCCCCCTCAGCCTGCCGGCTGCATCCCCATCATTCCATACTAGTTCATGCTCATTCCACTCATGCGCACACAACGCCAATGAGGCTCATCCGCAAGCCTCTTGGTGAGGAAGTCTGCTGGCTGCTGGTGAGTCTTGATGTAGATCGGATTCACTGTCCCCCTCTTCACCTCCTTACGCAGCCAGTGCCAATTGATACGCATGTGCTTATTAAGCCCATGAAGCACAGCGTTCCTGGCCATCCCAAGAGCTCCCTTGCTATCACAAAACAGCGGCGTAGCAACCTTTTGCTCCTGGCCAATCTCCTCTAACAGCTGTTGGTGTAAGGGCCTAATAAACTCAAGCTATTTAGACTTTATCAAACTTAAAACCTCTCCTCAGGGTCACCTCCAAGGGTCCTTGGGTGCCTGGTACAAGACCAGCCCCTATCCTCGGGTCCGAGTTTGTAGAGAGAGGGATCAAGAGGGACTTAGTCAAAACAGCAAGAGTACCTTGAACGTCGCGCAGCGTATCGTGCCGACCGTAGATCGGATTAAGTTGAGAATTTACTATATTGAAGCTCACTCTAAGAGCTTTAAAATAAGCCAAGTTGTCTTGCAAAAAGTTCTGCCATTACGAAGTTATGGCTCGGACAGCGTTAGCCTAGCGTTGGAGTGCTAGCGTACTAGCGTTGACTCGGGTAGCATTCCGCCGTCGCACCGCGTAGAAACGAAATTCCAGCAAGGAAGGAATTCGCTTGAATCAATTTTTACTATATTCAGGTACAAACAGAGAAGGAATATATAGTTCTAGCTAGCATGGACCTTGGGAATCAACCTGGGAACAACCAGGGATGATCCCAAATAATTCCAAGCAACAGAACCAACCTGGCTGGACAAAATAGCAGGTGGTAGGTTGGTGAACAACCTCTGGTTCTGTTTTTCCAACCTGGGAAAACAACAACCAGGTTCAGGTCCTAAAAACAGAACCTGTTTTGTCTTTACCCAACCAGCCAAATGCTGGTTCCGCTGGTTTCCCCTGGCCCTGTAGCATGCAGATACAGACAAACAACATCCAACCTTCACCTAAATTGTACCCCTATAGTGCCTGCCCTGCTGCACTATAGTCAAACAAACAAAACAGTACAATTTCGAGTTGGATAGAACTGAATCTGCACAATCAATTCAACCGAACCGCAAAGCTTCCATCTTGGGTTCCTTTGCGAGCTCGTCCTTTCTGCTTGTACTGTTCATAGCGCGTACAGTGTTATGCCGAAGCGCACGTTGTGCGAGTACCTGCAAATGCTTCAAGCGAAAATTGCGAAAGCAAACAAACACACGAACATACCATTCACACGCAAATGCATTCGCACACGCATACTCGTACAAACAGACGGCAGGATGTCGTGCAATGTGAATTTGCACCCAACACACTCCCTCTCAGCCTGCCGGCTGCATCCCCATCACTCCATACTAGTTCATGCTCATTCCACTCATGCGCACACAACGCCAATGAGGCTCATCCGCAAGCCTCTTGGTGAGGAAGTCTGCTGGCTGCTGGTGAGTCTTGATGTAGATCGGATTCACCGTCCCCCTCTTCACCTCCTTACGCAGCCAGTGCCACTTGATACGCATGTGCTTATTGAGCCCATGAAGCACAGCGTTCCTGGCCATCCCAAGAGCTCCCTTGCTATCACAAAACAGCGGCGTAGCAACCTTTTGCTCCTGGCCAATCTCCTCTAACAGCCTCCTCAGCCAAATCACCTCCTTCACCCCATGAAACATTGTCATGTACTCTGACTCCACAGAAGAGAGTGCTGTCTCCGTCTGCTTCTTTGACCTCCAACTAACAGGTCCTCCTCCAACTACGCAGATGTATCCTCCCACTGATGAGGAATCCTCCTTCTCAGAGGCCCACGTAGCATCGGTAAAGCAAGCGAGAAAGAGCTTGCCTTGTCCAAGCCTCTCCCCCTTCTCTTTCAGCACCTCAACCCCTTTCTGCTTCACCTGTGCAGACGCAGAGTATTGAACTCCAATGCTTGGGTGAGAGTTCAGATACTTCACCATACGCTCAGCTGCATCCACCTGCTCCTCTGATGGATTCTGCACCACCCTAGCCAGCTGCCCAACCGAGAAAGAGATATCGGGCCTCGTGTGAACTGCTGCATACAAGAGGCTGCCCACCAAGGACTGAAATTGCTGCTGCTCCTCGGCTTCAACCCCTTCATCCTCTGCAGCTTTCACAAGCTTGAATTCTGCTGGCAGGGAAGTTGCAACCTTGCGCTCATTCTCAATTCCGTACTTCTCCCCAAGCTCCTTGATGAACTTCTCCTGGTGCAGCTTCAACCACCTGTGATCCAGATCCCTCTCCACGTGCATCCCTAGGTAGTACTTTACCTCCCCAAGGTTCTTGCACTTGAAGTTCTCCATCAGCTGCTGCTGCACCTTCTGGATCTCCTTGATGCTGCTGCTAAAGAGAAGAATGTCGTCCACATAGACCAGAAACAGCACCAGCTTCTCCCCCTCCCCCTTGAGAAAGAGGCTCTCATCACAGCTGCTGGTCCTGAATCCCATCTCCTCTAAAACAGCTGCCAACTTCTGGTACCAGCAGCGTGGCGCCTGCTTCAAGCCGTAGATGGACTTTTTCAGCTTGCACACCCTGCCAGTACCATCCTCATACCCAGGTGGCTGCGTCATGAACACCTCCTCCTCTAAAATCCCGTTGAGGAATGCCGTTGATATGTCCATCTGGATAATGAACTTCCCACTAATGGCTGCATCTGCCAACAAGACACGAAGGGTAGGGGGTTTGGCAGTGGGAGCAAAGATCTCATTGAAGTCCCGCTTCTCCTTCTGCATAAACCCCTTAGCCACCAGCCTACTCTTGTAGATGGTGACCTGTCCCTTGTGATCGGTCTTGATCCTTAGCACCCACTTGCATTGTACGGCTTTCTTTCCCTCAGGCAGCACCACTAGTTCCCAAGTCCCATTCTCCAGCAGGCTCTGGTACTCAGCATCCCTAGAAGCTAGCCATTTGTCCCTATCTGGTCCAGCTAATGCCTCCTCCATGCTAGCTGGTTCCTCTGGTGCAGGGGCAAGAAAACAGTACGCAGGTTCATCCTCCTCATCCAGGTCATAGCCATGCGGTAGAATCAGCAATGCCTCCTCGGTCCCAAGCTGCTGCTCCGCTACATCAGCTCCTGCAGTCAGCTTCTTAGTAGCCATACGGGTACGTCCTGGCCTGGAGACGGGTGTCTCCCATCCCTTCATAACGACACCCTTCGGCTTCTTAGTTTTCCCCTGCTGCTGCTCTCCTCCCTCGGATCCAGCAGCTCCACTAGTGCTACCGCTAGTCTCCACACCATCACCTCCACCAGCAGGTGCCTCCTGCACCTTCTCTTTATCACCACCCTCTGCAGCTCCCTCCTCCCACACACTAGGAGTCAGGTCCAGCTGCATGGTGATCTGCTCGATCTGCTGGGACACCCTGGCCTCCGGCTGTTTCTCCCAGCTCCCATACATCATGCCCTCAACAAACTTCACATCCCTGCTGTCAAACAACACACCCTTGGAAGGCTCCCACAGCAGCCATCCCTTGCTCTCAGCAGCCAGCCCCAAATGCACACACCAGATTGCACTCGCCCCCAACTTACTGCGGTAGGTCTTGGGGACGTGGGCGACTGCCATGCAAGCGAACACCCTCAGCATGTCCACCGGCGGCTTCCTCCCAAGCCACCTCTCCAACGGCACCCACGAGTCATCCCCAACCTTTGTGAGTACCCTGTTTCTAGCGACGGTAGCGTGCCGAACAGCATGGGGCCACATCAAGTTGCCCAGCCCAGATTCTATGAGCAGCGCCCTAGCTGTCTCCAGAATTGTCCGGTTCGCCCGTTCTGCTACACCGTTGGACTGTGGGGTGTAAGCCGTGGTCAGCTCCCTCTGGATGCCCTGCTACTTGAGCCAGGCCGTCATCTCAGCTCCAAGGAACTCACCACCCCGATCTGTCATAATCCGCTTCACCACACACTCCGCTTGCTTCTCCACGAACGGCAGCCAATCGTCCCGAATCGTGGAGGCGGCGTGATCTTTCTGCTTCAGCGGATACGCCCACATTAGCCTGCTCCAGTCATCCACTCTGGTTAGGAAATACCGCTCCCCCTTGTGCCCTTGCACCGGCAGCGGCCCCACCAAGTCCATGTGGACCAGCTCCAACGGCTTTTTGCTCCTGCCAGCCACACTATGAAGGGGAAACGGGTGAACTTTGAAAGGAGGCAAATTTCACAGTTATCATCGGGTGGTTGTCCGTTCAGCTTCAAGCCCTTAACGGCTCCATCCTTCTCCAGCTGCTTCAGCAAAGGCATTGCCACATGCCCCAAACGTCGGTGTGCAGTTGCCCAATCTGTCTCCCCAGATCTGGCCGACACTTTCACACCAACCCCTCCAACGGCGTTGCACCCCCCCTGGGATGCAGACCCCTCTCCAGCCTGCCCCCCACCGTGCCACGCCAGCGCCGGCAGCTGCCACATAGATCTGTACACGTCCTTGCTCTCGTGCAGATCCCAAAGCACCCGATTGCCCAGCTTCCCCTTATAAGTGCGAGCCCCATCTGTGTTGGTGTTCACCCCAGCCTTGCCAAGCTTACGGAGGGAGATAAGGTTGGCCTTCAGGTCGGGGAAGAGGAGAACGTCGTGCAGCACCACCGGCTTGCCATCCGCTCCCTTAAACGCAGCTCGTCCCGCACCAGCCACCTTCAGCGCGTGTCCAGAGGCGGAGCACACCTAGTTGATCGGAGCAGCTCGTACGTGGTCCAGCAGGTCCTTGCGCGGCGTCATTGTCCAAGCAGCGCCTGTGTCCAACACCCAATAATCCAGGGGGTGCAGCTCTGCTCCAGCCTTAGCAGATGCGTCTCCTTGCTCCCCCTTGTCTCCCATATGGAACAATTGGCCCGCGGTGCGCTCCTTCTTTTCCGCACCGCCATTGCCCTTCGGGTTGTTGTCGGACGAATCAGCGACCATGTTGGCGCCACTTTTCTGGTTCCTCCGCGCGCCGCCATCCTGGTGACGATTCTGGGGGGTCCATCCATCGGGTTTCTTATAGCACAAAAACCAGGGGTGCCCTTCTTTCTCACAATACCAGCAACTCCCTTTCATTTTGCCACCAGCACCCGACTTGCCCCCACGTCCAGATTTCGCACTGCGACCCCAACCGGTACCTCCTTGTTGGTCGTTGGAGTCGTCGTCTTTCTTTGCACCGCGTCCAGCACCACCGAAGCCACGTCCTTTGCCACGTCGGCTCCCTTGCATCCCGTAGCCGCTGCTGCCGTTGTCTCCACCCCTCAGTTGGCGGCGACGGAAGTCCTCCTCCAGAATCTTCGTCCGCACCCACTCGAGCGTCCACAAGCTCTGGTTCGGCGGCAGGCTCAATCCGCTCGTGAATTGAAGCCACGATTCCGGCAGCAGCGAGATCATCTTCAGGCACTTGGTCTGCTCCGGGTAGGTGATTCCCGCTATCGTCAGCTTCGCGTAGAGATCACGCATCTTGTCCAGGATGGGTTGTACCGGCTCTCCGTCGCTTAGGCGCAACGCGGACAGCTCCCTCTCCATCATGAGCGTCGCAGCGACGGAGGTAGGGGCGTGCAGCTCCTTCAACACGGTCCACGCCTTCGGACCGCACTCAACCTCCGGCAGCAGGTGCATGACGTGGTGACGCTGGTTCAGCTCCAAACTCTGCGACATCAAGTAGTAGCCAGCCGAGGCGCGCTCGTCCCAATCTTCCTGAAGGGCGGGGTCACTCGGTCTAGGCTCCTCCCCAATCATTAGTTTCAGCAATCCGATCTGACGGAAATAAAGTTGCATTTTCCAGGCCCAATCATCATAGCCCTCACCATTGAAGTTTTCGACGGTTAAGTTTTTCAGCACCTCCTTGATCAGCGAGCCCTGGCTTAATCGCGCTCCCCTTGGCGCAGAAACACCAGAATCATGGCTGCCGCTACGATCTTGGGCTGAAGATTCACCAGCTACCGCCGAGGTCTTCCCCGCCATAGCTACCTATAACGAGGTCACTATAACGCAGCTCTGATACCAGCTTGTTGGTGTAAGGGCCTAATAGACTCAAGCTATTAAGACTTTAGCACACTTTAAAACCTCTCCTCGGGGTCACCTCCAAGGGTCCTTGGGTGCCTGGTACAAGACCAGCCCCTATCCTCGGGTCCGAGTTTGTAGAGAGAGGGATCAAGAGGGACTTAGTCAATGTTGGGTGCAAATTCACATTGCACGACATCATGCCGTCTGTTTGTACGAGTATGCGTGTGCGAATGCATTTGCGTGTGAATGGTATGTTTGTGTGTTTGTTTGCTTTCGCAATTTTTGCTTGAAGCATTTGCAGGTACTCGCAAAATGTGCGCTTCGGCATAACATTGTACGCGCTATGAACAGTACAAGCAGAAACGACGAGCTCGCAAAGGAACCCAAGATGGAAGCTTTGCGGTTCGGCTTACTTGATTGCGCAGATTCAGTTCTATCCAACTCGAAATTGTACTGTTTTGTTTGGTTGACTATAGTGTAGCAGGGCAGGCACTATAGGGGTACAATTTAGGTGAAGGTTGGATGTTGTTTGTCTGTATCTGCATGCTACAGGGCCAGGGGAAACCAGCGGAACCAGCATTTGGCTGGTTGGGCAAAGACAAAACAGGTTCTGTTTTTAGGACCTGAACCTGGTTGTTGTTTTCCCAGGTTGGAAAAACAGAACCAGAGGTTGTTCACCAACCTATCACCTGCTATTTCGTTCAGCCAGGTTGGTTCTGTTGCTTGGAATTATTTGGGATCATCCCTGGTTGTTCCCAGGTTGATTCCCAAGGTCCTTGCTAGCTAGAGCTATTTATTCCTTCTCTGTTTGTACCTGAATATAGTGAAATTGATTCAAGCGAATTCCTTCCTTGCTGGAATTTCGTTTTCTACGCGATGCGACGGCGGAATGCTACCCGAGTCAACGCTAGTACGCTAGCACTCCAACGCTAGGCTAACGCTGTCCGAGCCATAACTTCGTAATGGCAGAACTTTTCGCGAGGCAACTTGGCTTATTTTAAAGCTCTTAGAGTGAGCTTCGATATAGGAAATTCTCAGCTTAATCCGATCGACGGTCTGCACGATACGCTGCGCGACGTTCAAGGTACTCTTGCTGTTTTGACTAAGTCCCTCTTGATCCCTCTCTCTACAAACTCGGACCCGAGGATAGGGGCTGGTCTTGTACCAGGCACCCAAGGACCCTTGGAGGTGACCCCGAGGAGAGGTTTTAAGTGTGATAAAGTCTTAATAGCTTGAGTTTATTAGGCCCTTACACCAACAAGCTGGTATCAGAGCTGCGTTATAGTGATCCTCGATATAGGTAGCTATGGCGGGCAACACCTCGGTGGTAGCTGGTGAAACTTCAGCCCAAGATCGTAGCGGCAGCCATGATTCTGGTGTTTCTGCGCCAAGGGGAGCGCGAACAAGCCAGGGCTCGCTGATCAAGGAGGTGCTGAAAAACTTCACCGTCGAGAAGTTCAATGGTGAGGGCTATGATGATTGGGCCTGGAAAATGCAACTTTATTTCCATCAAATCGGATTGCTGAAACTAATGATTGGGGAGGAGCCTAGACCGAGTGACCCCGCCCTTCAGGAAGATTGGGACGAGCGCGCCTCGGCTGGCTACTACTTGATGTCGCAGAGTTTGGAGCTGAACCAGCGTCACCACGTCATGCACCTGCTGCCGGAGGCTGAGTGTGGTCCGAAGGCGTGGACGGTGTTGAAGGAGCTGCACGCCCCGACCTCCGTTGTTGCAACATTGATGCTGGAGAGGGAGCTGTCCGCGTTGCGCCTGAGCGAGGGAGAGCCGGTGCAACCTGTCCTGGACAAATTGCGCGACCTCTACGCGAAGTTGGCGACCGCGGGAATCACCTACCCGGAGCAAACAAAGTGCTTGAAGATGCTCTCGCTGCTGCCGGAATCGTGGCTTCAATTTACGAGCGGATTGAGCCTGCCGCAGAACCAGAGCTTGTGGACGCTCGAGTGGGTGCGGACGAAGATTCTGGAGGAGGACCTCCGTCGCCGCCAACTGAGGGGTGGAGACGACGGCAGCAGCGGCTACGGGATGCAAGGGAGCCGACGTGGCAAAGGACGTGGCTTCGGTGGTGCTGGACGCGGTGCAAAGAAAGACGACGACTCCAACGACCAACAAGGAGGTACCGGTTGGGGTCGCGGTGCAAAATCTGGACGTGGGGGCAAGTCGGGTGCTGGTGGCAAAATGAAAGGGAGTTGCTGGTATTGTGAGAAGGAAGGGCACCCCTGGTTTTTGTGCTATAAGAAACCCGATGGATGGACCCCCCAGAATCGTCACCAGGATGGCGGCGCGCGGAGGAACCAGAAAAACGGTGCCAACATGATCGCTGATTCGTCCGACAACAACCCAAAGGGCAACGGCGGTGCGGAGAAGAAGAAGGAGCGCACCGCGGGCCAATTTTTCCATATGGGAGACAAGGGGGAGCAAGGAGACGCCTCTGCTAAGGCTGGAGCAGAGCTGCACCCCCTGGACTATTGGGTGTTGGACACAGGCGCTGCTTGGACAATGATGCCGCGCAAGGACCTGCTGGACGACGTACGCGCTGCACCGATTAATGAGGTGTGCTCTGCCTCTGGACACATGTTGAAGGTGGCTGGTGCGGGACGAGCTGCATTTAAGGGAGCGGATGGCAAGCCGGTGGTGCTGCACGACGTTCTCCTCGTCCCCGACCTGAAGGCCAACCTCATCTCCCTCCGTAAGCTTGGCAAGGCTGGGGTGAACACCAACACGGATGGGGCTCGCACTTATAAGGGGAAGCTGGGCAATCGGGTGCTTTGGGATCTGCACGAGAGCAAGGACGTGTACAGATCCATGTGGCAGCTGCCGGCGCTGGCGTGGCACGGTGGGGGGCAGGCTGGAGAGGGGTCTGCATCCCAGGGGGAGTGCAACGCCGTTGGAGGGGTTGGTGTGAAAGTGTCAGCCAGATCTGGGGAGACAGATTGGGCAACTGCACACCGACGATTGGGGCATGTGGCAATGCCTTTGCTGAAGCAGCTGGAGAAGGATGGAGCCGTTAAGGGCTTGAAGCTGAACGGACAACCACCCGATGATAACTGTGAAATCTGTTTGCTCTCAAAGTTTACCCGTTTCCCCTTCCATAGTGTGGCTGGCAGGAGCAAGAAGCCGTTGGAGCTGGTCCACATGGACTTGGTGGGGCCGCTGCCGGTTCAGGGACACAAGGGGGAGCGGTACTTCCTGACCATTGTGGATGATTGGAGCAGGCTTATGTGGGCATATCCGCTGAAGCAGAAGGACCATGCCGCCTCTACGATACGGGAAGATTGGCTGCCATTCGTGGAGAAGCAAGCGGAGTGTGTGGTGAAGCGGATTAGGACAGATCGGGGTGGTGAGTTCCTTGGAGCTGAGATGACGGCCTGGCTCAAGAAGCAGGGCATCCAGAGGGAGCTGACCACGGCTTACACCCCACAGTCTAACGGTGTAGCAGAACGGGCGAACCGGACAATTCTGGAGACAGCTAGGGCGCTGCTCATAGAATCTGGGCTGGGCAACTCCATGTGGCCCCATGCTGTTCGGCACGCTACCGTCGCTAGGAACAGGGTACTCACAAAGGTTGGGGATGACTCGTGGGTGCCGTTGGAGAGGTGGCTTGGGAGGAAGCCGCCGGTGGACATGCTGAGGGTGTTCGGTTGCATGGCAGTCGCCCACGTCCCCAAGACCTACCGCAGTAAGTTGGGGGCGAGTGCAATCTGGTGTGTGCATTTGGGGCTGGCTGCTGAGAGCAAGGGATGGCTGCTGTGGGAACCCTCCAAGGGTGTGTTATTTGACAGCAGGGATGTGAAGTTTGTTGAGGGCATGATGTATGGGAGCTGGGAGAAACAGCCGGAGGCCAGGGTGTCCCAGCAGATGGAGCAGATTACCATGCAGCTGGACCTGACTCCTAGTGTGTGGGAGGAGGGAGAGGAGGCAGCTGCAGAGGGTGGTGATAAAGAGAAGGTGCAGGAGGCACCTGCTGGTGGAGGTGATGGTGTGGAGATTAGCGGTAGCACTAGTGGAGCTGCTGGATCCGAGGGAGGAGAGCAGCAGCAGGGGAAAACTAAGAAGCCGAAGGGTGTTATTATGAAGGGATGGGAGACACCCGTCTCCAGGCCAGGACGTACCCGTATGGCTACTAAGAAGCTGACTGCAGGAGCTGATGTAGCGGAGCAGCAGCTTGGGACCGAGGAGGCATTGCTGTTTCTACCGCATGGCTATGACCCGGATGAGGAGGATCAACCTGCGTACTGTTTTCTTGCCCCTGCACCAGAGGAACCAGCTAGCATGGAGGAGGCATCAGCTGGACCAGATAGGGACAAATGGCTAGCTTCCAGGGATGCTGAATACCAGAGCCTGCTGGAGAATGGGACTTGGGAACTAGTGGTGCTGCCTGAGGGAAAGAAAGCGGTACAATGCAAGTGGGTGCTAAGGATCAAGACTGACGACAAGGGGCAGGTCACCATCTACAAGAGTAGGTTGGTGGCTAAGGGGTTTATGCAGAAGGAGAAGCGGGACTTCAATGAGATCTTTGCTCCCACTGCCAAACCCCCTACCCTTCGTGTCTTGTTGGCAGATGCAGCCGTTAGTGGGAAGTTCATTATCCAGATGGACATATCAACGGCATTTCTCAACGGGATTTTAGAGGAGGAGGTGTTCATGACGCAGCCACCTGGGTATGAGGATGGTACGGGCAGGGTGTGCAAGCTGAAAAAGTCCATCTATGGCTTGAAGCAGGCGCCACGCTGCTGGTACCAGAAGTTGGCAG